GTGGTGTTTTCGCAGCTCCTCTTGCAAAACTTTCCCTTCCAAAATAAATGCAAATATAAATGCTTGTTACTTAAGCGGATCACGGACATTTGTGAATAATTTTGAGTCGAGAAAACACATTGTTTCACGACTTCATTGTTCTGTACAAACAGTGAATGGTGAATAAAGCAATGGCTATGCCATTCAGCATGTATTTATTTATGTAAGCGTTTGCAGAGAAAACAAAAATGAGTCCACTCATTTAGCGGAGTTTTTGGTTTCGCACTTTGACGAGCGCTTTGGACCTCATTGGTATTGTTTCACAGCCGATCGACCACTGGCATTCTACACACACTACGATCCGAATAATTACATTCACCTACGAGTGGACTTGTACACGTTTCTACTCTTCAAAGTGGCTCCATCGCAGTTATCCATCCATGCCAATGTGAAATCGTCACGCAAAGAAGCCGTTACACCGGTAGACGGCAACACAATTGTTGTTGACCTGATTGAGAGGAACAGCAAACGGACTCAAATAATGGCCAGTGATATGCCTGAGAGTATGAAGGAAAGAGCACAAGTGCTTGCAGCAGAAGCTGTTAAAAGGTGAGATTTATGATAGGTAAGCTGGATGAATTGAACTCTGCAGAGAATTGATGAGAGTGTTGAATGTTGAAATGATGTAAAAAGAAGAATAATGAAGTAAGTTGTTGTTGCTGATTTTGTAATTTGTATGTAATTTGCAGGTTTCCCGACGAGCGAATGCTGTGTGCGCACTTCATCATGACCAGATTCGAAGCTGAATTCGGTCCGCCATGTCACTGTGTTATAAGTGATACGAAAATTGAATATGGTTTCCACGAATGTAATCATTACTATTGCTACTTCTTGATTGATTCACTTTATATATTCCTTTTCCAAAATGATGTTTCGTCGGATTGAAAATGTGTGATACGTGATAATAAATCTTCATTTAAGCATATCGTTCTTCTTTTCTCTTAATTGAATCGGTCGCATTTTGCGGTTGCAAGATCAATTTTGCAGTTGTGACTGATTCACCTTTTGCAGTTAATGTCAGAATTAGAATTGTTAGATAGAATTGATAACAAAATAACGATAAAACATTAGCTTTCGCCAACAAAAAAAAATTTTAAGTTCAGCTCTCACATTAAAATAATTAATCATCAATCTCTGTTAGTGCTAATTTTCACAACAACAGCTTGATCTGATGCTTATGAATGCTTCGAGAATTCACAAGGTAAGTAAGTAAATGTGTTGCACAGTTGGGTGTACAATACACGTACTGCTCGACTATCTCAACAGATGTTTTGCTAGGGTGATAAAACATCCCGAAAAAAAATATTAATGATCTGAGCAAGCAATCGTTGATATGGAGAGATTATCAGGAGTCGACTAACGAAAAGCATAGGATATGGTGAGAGATTGATGCAAAATAAACGAGATAAATGAGTATATCAGAATTGCTTGATGTGAATCTATTACATCGTCGTTATCATTATCATCAAACTCACATTCACTTCTGCATTCCTCTTCTTCACTCCTCTCAAAGTGTGCTGCAAGCAACTGCTGTCCATCCCAGCAAAACAAACAATCACATAAAAAATATTTCTTTGAGCCATTTTTGCGTTCAGCCAGTGAATCGAAGATTTATTCGCAACTCATTCACTAGACTCGTTTCATTCGGTGATTCACTCACTCATCGTCAGTGTTGATTGCCACTGACCAATTTGATCGCTGTGTTGATCGACAATTCATCAGAATTCTCTCTTCATTAGTGCAATTTGCTCATTGTTTTCAAACTTTGTTCAATATCTTTGAAATATGCAAATTTTTGCATTGTTTCGATCATTCATCGGTAATTTCCCATAGAATTGCACGATGAAATTCGGTTCAAAATTGCTAATTTCACGAATTAGCGTCGTTATCCTACATTTTGCACGGCGGTCTAAACGGAGTCGAATGTGTTGTGGTTTGGATGGGCAACGAATTGTGGAACTTTATTTGAGATCCGGATTTTGTCTAAGTGGAGCACAAGAGTTTACTAATGTTGGATTTGATACGAGAAAATTTATAGCTGATTCACGGTATTGACTTAGCAATAAACTGACAACCAATTTGTTTGCACTAATCAGTTTCGATCAGCTGCCACCTTCCCATCTTTAACGTCAAGATTTTCATCGTTCTAAGCCATTTCTCAGGAGTAGATCGTCGTTATTCATGATTTTTCAAACAATCACGAATCGCATGTAATGTTGTTGACGGGATATGAGAACATAGTGAATCCACCCGACAGATAATAGGTATTTGTTGTGTGAAAGTTGTTGTCAGCAAGTTGTTTTGATGAAATGTGATAGTGAAGACTGCTGCTGTGAACAATCGACTTTCGAAAAACGTAAACAAATTCATTAAGCGATCAGTTGAATCGGTGCAAATGCATTCGATTGTGAATGTTAAACAATAAACAATGAAATCAGGTGTTCTCCTCTCTAAAATCATCCGATAAGATGTAATACTAACTCAAAATATGCTCATTTGATACGTGCAATTAGAAGAGTTATTCGAGCGGATGGATGCCTTTGTTGGACTAGTCATTGTTTATCAGTGTCTAATGAATGATTTGTTAAGGTGAGATGGAATTAGGCGACGAAATCATTATCTCTCCCAGCGCTGAAATAGGCGACGTAAGACCATCGGAGGTAGCAGCCGCAGAAGCTGGTGGTGATGTGAAACCGTCTAAACCAGAAGGCAGCGATCAACCGCAACCAAAAGCAGAAGCTGCTGCAGCAAGCGCTGGAGGAACTGAGCAAGGGCAACCCATTGTACAGGAGAAGGAGACGACCCACGAAACACCGGTTGCCGAGCCTGAACCAAAGCCGGAATCTCAGCCAGAGCCCGAGGCAAAACTAGAACCACGACCCGAACCAGAGCCTCAACCCAAGCAGGAACCAGAGCCTCAACCCAAACAGGAGCCAGAGCCTCAACACAAACAGGAGCCAGAGCCTCAACCCAAACAGGAGCCAGAGCCTCAACCCAAACAGGAGCCAAAGCCGCAACCCAAACAAGAACCGGAAGCTCAACCCAAACAGGAACCTGAACCTCAGCCCAAGCAGGAACCTAAACCTCAGCCTAAACCAGAACCTAAGGTATCTGATGCTGAGCAGGAAAAAGAGCCAGCTCAGCAACCAGAAGCTAACAAGGAGAAACGTGAAGCTGAGCAGCCACGCCCTCCACCCACAGACGAAGCGACAGCTGTAGTGCCTGAAGCGACGCCGGCTGGTGCAACTGAAGGCGGCCATATTCCTCCAGCCACTGCTAGTGAACAGCCACCAGTGCTTAAGGAACGCCAGCAAGAAGTGCCTGAGCTCGAGCCGTTACAAGCACCCGAACCGATAGTTGAACCGTCACAACCGCCACATCCCTCTGAACCTGAACCACAACAGGTACCAGCTCAACCAGAACCCCAGCCCGAGCCACAACCCCAGCCCCAACCGCAACCTGAACCGGCGGAACCCGCTCAGCCAATACCTGCCCAACCAGTCCCAACCGAACCACCCGTTCAACCCACTCCAGCTGCTCAACCTTACCCTACTCAGATGCAACCAGCGCCAGCGCCGGTAGCAGAGCCACAGCCTGATCAACCCCAGCCCCAACCTCAAACCCAACCTGAACCTGAGCCTCAACCTCAACCCCAGGAACAACCTCAACCCACACCACAGTGTCAACCCCAGCCAGCACCTGCTCAACCAGCAATGGCCACGCAAGTTCCAGGTGCTCAAATTGTTTCTGCTGGTATGCCACCCGATATGCAACAGTATGCAGTGAGTTTGGCTCAGGAAGCGATTGCAAAGTAATCTTTTTCGCTTGTTTTCTACTTATTTTTCACATTGTAATGAGTTTGAGTTAGTTTGTTGTTACAATAATGATGAGGCAATCAACAGTTGACAGTTGGTGAATAAATGTAAATNNNNAGCTGTATAAGCGTCCCAACAGAACGTCATGCCTTGTCTTTTTTGAATGCATGTCCCAAATATCTCGCGTAAGTGCTTACCAATGATGGGATTCATATTCAATTTCTTTATTGCATCTTTTAAGCGTAGCTGAATTTATTCCATTGAAATGAACGGAGTTTATGAGCCATGCTGAATTTCAGTCCTGAACCCAATCAGATCATGCGTATTGCACAGCATATCATGGGTCATTTCGAGCAAAAGTACGGTCCCATATGGCACTGCGTGGCAAGCGATGGCCAACTGGGATTCATGGCTCGTTATGATCCAGCGGCACACATTTATTTCGCTGTTGGTAATATCACAATATTCTTATTCAAGCAACAACAGCAAGATGCTTAAGTCAGAGTAATAGGTGGAAGAGTCCTCGTTATCATTGTGTTCCTTGCTGGTGATAATTCATCACCTCAATACCACTGGAACGTTATGACCAATATTGCTTCTTCATGACAGTTGCGGTAGTGGAGAAGCGTATTGATTTGCTATTTTTGGTTCCATCAACTATTTTTTCTCATTACCGTTTAATGTGTTTGCTCATTATTAAATCTTATGCGCTTTCACATAACATTGTTTTTTTTNTTTTTTTTGCGCCTATTTGTGGGTGTTTGAAGTTTATTGTAACTTTTGAAAGCTGAAGGCTGTCATTCAATCATCACACGTTTATAAAACTTTATTAATCGAAAGCGACAGAACATTGCAACTGATTTTTGTACACTGCATAGAATACACATGAAACATATTAATTGTCATCATCGGCAGAAATTCTTTTGGAAATACAAAAATATGTGTAATTATTATTCGTCACATTTGCGCTCGACAATATGAAGTTGTTGGTTAATTTCGGTTCGGAAACGATGGAGAATAGGCAAACAAGTGAAGAACTGCGTAAAACAGCTCTGATTTTAATTTCCAAATGCATTCGTTATTGCTCTATCCACTTTTCACTAGATCGTGGTTGTACTAAATTCATGATTACAACAACAGCTGTTGAGTGGCTGAATACAAATATGCGGTTGAGTTGATCCTGAACGCAGACCTCCATCCACTATTCTCACCTGTGCAATCCAACTTCGAGGATAAACATCGTTTCTGCCGTCTTGTACGGATGCCTGAATATTATCATACCACTCTTATACACGATTTTAGCTTGAGACCAAGTGGGAATGCATTGAAATGGTGTGTTTGATTTGAGTGAAAAATTAGACTGATGCTATTTTTGGAAATTAGTTTTTGAGGTGTATTGTAAACAAGTGCTTTAAAATGCTAACAAGTGAGATGTAGGTTTGTTTACATCATTTAATATTATGATCGAAATCGCCATTTTCACGCAAAAAACACTTGTTATTACAATTATTTGCTTGAAATTACGTCGCCCATTAAAATGATGTGAAATCGTCTGCTACACTATCCAAAAATTGTTCGATTCACTGTTTAGGTTGTTGTCACAATGAATCTGGCATCCTTTTGAGAAAAGAATTCAGCCAAATTCTGCGATGTTTTATGTGCATTTGGGTCAATCGAAATTGCTTTATTTATCCTCAATTTGATCGATCAAATGAGTGAAAGTGATCAAACAGTTGAAACATGGACGGAACAAACAACTGCATAAAATAGCACTCAATGAAAACAGATAGTGTGCGGTGATAAGGAAGTAATTCTCGCATTAAACACTTCGAGAGCACATTCGATGCATCGCTGCAACAACGCTTACTTGATTGATTGTCAAATCCTCACAACCGCTATCCGCCTCTAAATCCTCATCCAATTTGTGCGTTTTGTTCGAGGTCGGTGAGGTCATTTCTGAAATTAACACTGTTCTACTTTATCGTTTCACTCCAAAAAGANTTTTTTTTTTGAAATCAACATATCGCTTCATTTTGCTCAATCACTGCAACTGACCATGTTCAATGTAATGTTTTTTATCGAGAACTCTCGTCAATCTTGCATTGGTGCCGTTCGCTGTTGTCTCAGTGACGAAAGCGTCATCATTCAATGAATTCTGAGTCATAATCAGGCACTGCTGAGTCCTCGTATTGGTAATGGGATCCTTACGACCACATTTACAGCATTCGTATAGGCAATTTTTACGCATCTTTTTAACAGTTAACCTGAAAGTGATCACCTCCGAAACTGACTAGAAGAGTATTCATTTGAATGCGATTCGATCGCAATTTACGATCAAAGAAGCGATTTCAACAAGCGAAAATCATAAAAACAACGAAGATTGAATGTGACAAATGTTGAAATGAAAAAAGAAATAGCAATTAACTTAAAACATGAATTGTGGACAACTCACATGAACACTTCTCGATATTCCGTACTGAAAATTAAGTAGATAAGGCAATTAACAGACGAGTTGAAGATGACTAGAAAATTGCTGCCATCGGTAAGAAAATTGAGCAATAGTGTATCGGGCTCGAAGAACGTTTCAATTATGTTCACTATCAAAGCCTGAAATTCATCACTGCTGGAAGAGTGAAGCAAAATCGTCAGCTGTGATCGATATCCGGAGCAACCGATCGGAAATCTGTCATAAGCACGCTCATAATTCCACTTGAATTCTTCTCGCCTATGTCAAAAACTTGTCGCGCTTTATGCGGATAAACAAAATCATCGATGTGCTTCAATTTTTGAAGAGTTGACTGATGAGCACGTGTTGTTTTCGTTATTCGAACGCTTGATACGAGAACAATTTGATATGATACATGCAAAGTCCACTCAGCTAGTCAGCGATGATTGATGCGATTTGAACGCAGTCATGCTAAGCGCTCTTCAAAGAGGCACAAAACAAGGAAGGATGTGATATTGACGAAGAGGATCACTTTCAACCAGTCAATCATATTCACATCAAATATCGTCGAATAACAAATCTCAAGAGAGGTGGAAAAACATACCACAGTCAATGGCTTAAAAAACTAATTTCTTTGTTGTAAAAAACTTTGCAGGAGATCTTGCATTCAAAATGCTTTCTTCATGGAATTTTCAGACCCAAAGCATTAAGCAATATTGCAGTTACGTGTCCACTGTTATATGAAGGTATATTTCAAAATGTTATGTCACTGTTATAATTTTTCAAGAGTGGTTCTGCAGTGAATTATAGTAGACGGATGTGAAGTTATGTTCCATTAGCTGCTCTTCATATGGACGGATTCACACAATTGGTGTGCACAAACTATTTCAGATACCTACCAGAGTATTGCAGCATAGAAAAAGCACCACGACCATAATCATTGTGATCGTACCATCAGAAGCACCCTGCGCGTTATTCGCATCCATCTTCAGCGGTTGTTTCTCGGATGAACTCTGCAGTGAAGCGCGCCTTGTCAAACCTTAAATGGATGGCTCATTGCCTGCGTCAATCGTATTTGCAGACTGTGAAGACAATTTCCCTAGGTATCTGGTCTGGCTTGGAAAACTGCACTTCTACGATTTTTTAAAAGTTTTATTGGAAGTTATCTTGCAATTTCTCTAATCCTTTGTGATTTGCTCAAGGTGATTAATGTTTATCAAGAGCAATTGCTGGGCATTGNGGCATTGGTAAATAATGTGTGATATTCGCCTTTTCGCTTAAGGAAAATGAGTTGTCAATCAAATGGAGACGTTCCTTATCGGTTGATTCGTTGCTCTCGTGTGACATTCAATAACTGACGTCTTTCGGTTTCTGACATCAGAATGTCTTCATTCGTATTCTCGCAATCAGATACATTAAGATGATATGGAAAGAGTTGAGATCATGAATGCGATAAATCAAAATTCATCGAACAATGCGTGGCGCATCACAGCAAAAACTGTTGGGGCATTTGCTTTTGGTTCGTAATAATATGGTGCACGAAATCAGCATCGATACGTTGCAAATACTAACGAGTTTTTGATTTTTGATTCCGAAAAGCACAAACAACATCAGTCAATTCCTAAGTGAATGGATGCGAGAAGTAATTCAGTTTATCTCACAAGTGATTTTTTTCGAGTCGTATCCGGAGAAGAGGGAATTTCAATGAATTGAACAAAATGAATCAGTTAATCCGGACAGAGGATACGGAATCGATTGTGTCATTTTCCATGTTGTAAAAAGTAATTGTTGAATATAGGGAAATGCAGTAAGAGTCTCGGAAATAGCATAAGGAGAAAGCTTGTCATTTTCAAACACTTTTTACGCAATCATGAAAATTTTCGATTTCTATACTCGAAAGATGAGAACATTGTTATATCCTCCCTCTGGAACAACCGATTCATTTTCCTCAATTTATTGAACTTCCCTCCTCTCCGGATATGACTTGAAAAACAGTCTGTGAGCTAAATTGAATTACTTCCTGTATTCATTCATTTCGGAATTGGTTGATAGTGTTTGTGTTTTGCCTTCTAGGATCCGCCAGTTTAACATTTCATATGATCACATTTGAGATCAACGCAGAGCATGACGACCCAAGTGCTAAGCCTTTGCGCTACTGGATTAGAAACTATCGTTGTTCTCATCATTTACTTGCTATCGCACTCTTACTGATTAACAGGAAGACGGAATAAATGCTATAAACTGAATATTATAAAACATTCAGAGCGAGTCATCTCTATGTTTGTTACGAGTAACCAGAGAAGCGACTGGTTCGCTTGAAGGGCATGAGAATATGTCGATCGCATCTTTAATAGCAGAAAAAATGTAGAAATCTTTTATAATGAAGAATTTATGCGAGCATATCATTTCCGAATGTGAGGANCTGATAGTAGGAAGTATTTATTGATAGTGAAAGCAGAGAATTATTCTCAAGGTTTAATTTAAGACAATTGATTCAGTTGAATACCGTAGGGTAGTTAACGGAGGAAAAGTTTATTAGGAAATTGCCTGGCTCGTCATGAACAACGTCATTTTTCAGTGAATGAAATGAGCAAACCTTTTTTCAGCATGTTGTGCGCTCCTCGACTGACGATAAACGATAATTGCGTTTAGAATGAGAAGGAACAGAAACGGCAGTAATGTCATTAGTACCATATACATATAGACATTGTAAATTGTATTGACTGTGAAGAATAATGACGTGGGACAAATTTCGATTATTATTTCCTCAAAACAAACAGATCTGGTAGCATAATCTTGGCCAGCGAAATGCAACAAATGACCGAACTTAATTGAATTTAGCAAGTTTTTAGCACTGAGCAGTGTTCAGATCAAGATAGTCACAGAAGTTATAAGAGCAACTCTGAGTGCGTTTGATCTATTGATGCGATTGCATGATAACTTTTGTGGATCTGATTCAATTCATGAGATTTTTCCAGATTCATCATAATGCGACACGCTCCTTCATTTAGCGTGCAATTGGAATGAAATCCCCAGAATTCAACTTATCATTGTAGGATCTTTAGTTTGCGTCTAATAAAAATGTTTTCGTTGGAATGTTGATCCAGAAATCCAGACTGAATGATCNTGGAAGCATTTGCGTAAATTGAATTGTGGAAATCGTAACGAATTGTAAATTATTGAACAAATTGCGATGCAGGTGTTTATCTGTTTAGCTCGCCTGACAGTGCAATATGAAGAGGCTATCGAGTGCCAGCAAACCTGAAAGTTCACTTGCCGTGTTAGTGATCCCACCCGGAAATCAGCTTTTTTTATGATGTACTGTTTCGACATATCTTTCGACACTATAAGCAAGCAAAACTCGACAAATCGTGCTCATTATATCCAGTTGCGAGAAAGAACGAAGAAAATCGAACAACTGACATTAATGTAGCAATCAACTGCGGCCGCAACTGTGAAATAAATACTACAAGTTTGAGCCATATAACCGAATGGTAAGGTATAGACCGTTGTGTAGGGAGCACGCGCCAGCTCGGGTATATAGGACCTGAAGTATTACAGGCTGAATGAAGGAATTCCTCTCGGACTGCTCACAAGATAACGAGTTGTTCAATGTTCAGCTCTATGTAAGGAAGGCTGAAGCTGCCAGGGAACCGAAAAAGTCCAAATTCTTTATATATTTCAAGAATGCAACAGTGTTTCGACATCACAGTACGCAATTGTTGAGTAATTATCAATCAGGAGAGCAGTGAACGGAAATTGATCACATACATACCTTGCTGAATCAATCCAAAAAATGAAGAGACCAGTTAATATGACCAGAAAGTCACTGCACGCCAAGAACAATAAATAAGTGTTCGCTGAATTTTGCATCCTGAAAAAAAACGGTTCGTTAAAAGACTGGAATGTTGAAATTTCCATGGAAGAATGACTGCGAAAAATTTTCACGTAGAAATCACTTGTTTCACTACATCTACACCAAACTGTAGCTTGCTGGCGGGTGATCATCCTCTCAAATGCTAACTAAAATCAAATTTTGCAACGACGATGACCAAGAATGCACTGAAGCTTGAAGAAAGTCAAAAGCTATTGGCTCACACGATTGTGAACCGAGGACATTAACTGGACAATGGTGATAGGCGATGTTATTAAGTTTAGCAAAAGATAATAATGAAACGATGAACAACCTTTTTCGCGAGTAAATATAAACATTGACGATGTTTGTGGCCACACCAAAAATTGAAAGTGTTGGTAATGCAACAATTATGAGCAAGTAATTAAACCTGAAAGATGAATCTTTTCAAGTTGACGATTCATATGATTTTGCACAATTACTCTCAAGCCAGCAATGGTATAAGTGATAGTAATATTTCGAAAAATGAAGTTTGCCTCAAGTTGGATTGGAAATTTCCACAATATTTACTCCGAACTGTGCTTTAAAAAAATGAAACGAAATGGTACCATGCATAAGCCAGTGAATAGTCATCATGTTGCAAATCGGAGCAAACGCATTCACTGTTATTCGGTGGAAAAGGCAGCATGATACTGAAACACAAAAGCTCATTTTGATGGCCTTTTTAGCTGGCATTAAAACTTTTATGATAGAACATCTGATTGAACTGCAATGCCAAAAACATTCATCATTAGCCAGTTATCTCATTTCACAATTCATTTAGCCACCAGAGATTGTTGTTATTCTCGTGCGGTTGTAGTCGGTAATCCATCCATTCACAGTATCTCATATTCAATGCAGCCAGTCGGGCATTCATTGGTGATATATATATATGTGTGTGTGTGTGTGTGTGTCAGTCTGGTAAAAGTTTCACGAGTTTCGGATTTCGATGGCAATTTTGTAACCAATATTTCGATTTCATTGCTTGTGTATGTGTGTGTTTCGCCTGAATTTATTACCCGAATTTATTGCCCCAGTGGATATAAACGATTCAAGTTCGTTATGCTTTCTCTCTCTCTGATTCAACGAAGATGCAGAAGCTTCACGTCAATAACTTTGAACAGTCATGAATGGGTTGGTTGTTCAGCCTCGACGACTGCGCTTTGCATGGTGTTTTTTTTTTGTTTGACCATACTCCAAATGAACGAAGAGCAAAAAGCATGATGTGGATATGGAAATAGATATCTGGATTGACATCATGTCAGTGAGCATCGTTTGAAGCGTGAACGATGCCTTTCAATGCGTTCATTTTTCATCGAAAACTGATGATTTTTCGTTGTGAGCAAAATCATGATAATGATGATGCATGCGTCCATCATACTTAATATCGCTGAAAAATGGCTGCCATATCCCGGAGCCACATTCAAAATGATTTGAACGAATTGAATGATTGAATTTAATTGAATAAAGACCCATGAGAGTGCTATGCACTTAAAAGAATTCAACAGATGAATGGTTCTTTTAAGGAATTAACAATGAATGTTTTTTTTTTCTGGTGAAAATAATCGCGCATTATCGATTCACTCACAGTCGTAATGAATTAGTGCAAGGAATGCAACGTGTGCAATTTCAAAAATAGAGACTCGCATTTTATAATGACTCCAAAAATTATAATGTTGAGTTGTCATCGTAAATGTGGCACTGTTGAAGTGCCGTTGCAAACCTTTGATAGGTTGCAACAACACACTTTTTGTATAAAGGTAGCACAGATTACTTACTGTTAACCGATTAATTGCTACCAATATGAACTGAATCATTAATTAAATCACTATTAAGTGTTTCAAGTTGCAACCGCTATTAAAGCATTCAGCTGCTCATTTCCATTAGTTTCAAGTGAAATACGCGCTCAATGCACGAGGATAGTCAAGCTGATGAGAATTACTTGCTCGAATTTTCATTTTCTTAAAAAAGCAGTGCCTCACCAGACTCAACATTCCCGGTTTTAATAGGTAGAAAAGTGGTATGAAGTAGAATTTCATAAAGTTGAGGCAGTGTGACAAATCGTTACTGAACGATGTGAAAGAAAGGTTTTATCAATACTTATGTCAAGATATCATCGAGTTAATAACTCTTCTGAGCAGTTGTTGTGTCCTTTTGNCTCCGTGCTGATGCATAATTGGTGCGATTGAATGAACGCTCACAAATAATTATCTGCAATCAATCACGCAACGAGAATTAAAGTGAAACGCCGAAGTGCGCTCTTAAATTCACACAAGCGTGATAACGTCGTCGTTCATTTCGTTGAATATAGCCGCTTCATTTCAACAATAAAAATGTTTTTCCAATTAAAAATATGAACACACACACACACAAAAAAATAAACGTAGTCATTTGGTATTTCTATGGATTCGATATCGAAGAATCATGATCGTGAGTGATAGCTCACTGATCAAGGATAGCCTGCATGCACACATGATTCACCATGACAATTACAGCGATCCAAGTAGTAGCATTTCATTTTGCCTAAGGCAGCAGTGCCTGTAGAGTGTAAACTATAAGTGAATCCATAAAATTAACTGAAACACAGACTGCTTCAGATGTTGCAGCGATTCAAGCTGAACGTACATTTAGCAAAGAAGGTTTATAGAGAATCTCTCTTGGAATTCATTTATACTGCCCAAAACACTCGCTGAGATTTCCGAAAGTGAACACCTCCGTCGCACCCATAAAACATAGTATTTGCTGTCACAAGCACATGTGATGACCACATTCTAAGATAACTAAAAGTCTCAGTAGTTGTTTTTCAGCATCATTCTTGTCACGGTGAACCTTCAAAACCAAACGGTAATCAATACCAAATCGACCTTAGCAACCGTACTCTTCATCAAGACGTTATAATCGGCTCATAGAATACTAATCAGAAGCTTTTAAAGTTTCGTTGAAAATCGTTTAACGTCACTAACAGAAAAGAAGTGAAACACATTAGTGGTTTAGCTTTTTACTTTAAAATGTTCTCAATTCCAATACATTTTTAATTAATTAAGAAACCAGTGAGGTAAAATCCTTTTGAACACATTCATGCCCCAGTAGCGATCGTTAATTGCCTATGGCAGTAGTTCGCGATGTGCTCAAATTATGGACTATTAAGCAAGAAGGATGTAGAGGATGTACAGTAGGGAACACTCAATTCTGCAGATTCCTTCTTTCTAAATGAGTGTTTCGATTGGATTCCAATAGTCAGAACGATAATTTTGCAGTATCTCAATTGTTATGAATGCGCACTTTCCGGTGGACGAATAATTTCTTGAGAGGAAAGCCCTAAAACGAAATCTGAAACAAGGCGATTGACTTCCCTTCTTGTTCTGTTCTGAGATGAGCTGTAAAGGAACGACAAACAACTGTTGAGGCACTGAAATGATTAAGCGCTGATCGCGGAATCCTGTGAAGAATTTCGGCCAGATTTGAACGTTAGATTTAGGATGCTATAAGAATAAACTAAAAAAAAAACTTATGGCAATTCACTATCCAATCTGCGTTTGCTTCAACGTTTTTTGCCTCATCTCTGCTGGAAGCGAGCGATAACAAGTGGAAGAAAATCAAAGTGAACAGCGTGAGCGAGCGATCTGTGANAGCAGCACTCATTGTGAAGCTTAAAAAAAACTAGGGGAGATGGCATTGAGGATAGGTATCAGAAAGGCATCTGCAAACCCCTTCTCCCGATCCCCGCCACCGATTATCAGAGCAAAATCCTTGAATTTGATGATACATTTGGCAAATTTACGACGAAGTTCGAAGCTGCAAATGAGATTCTTTCAGTGAAAACAACTGTTGCATCCGTCGCTAAATGATTACGAGAACAAATGGTTTGAAGCACATTAAAGGCAGTTAACCAGTCAAGCGATGCCCTGCCCATCTGCGGCTTTCTTCTTGTCACAAGCTGGTGAGATTGATCGTTGGTTTACGCAGCTAAGCAAGTTAAAATTGTTGCTCTTCCACCACACCCATCCAAATTGCCCATTCAAATGACTGGGGTTACTATCGCGAAGACCACAAAATTTCACCTAATCCACGATAGCTTAACTTGAGCTCTTTTCATAAACTACTTAAAAGTACAACGCTTGTCCAATCGAATAGACTCATTCAACGGCACGCATGTGATCATTAGGCTAACACAGTCACCTCGACATTTGCTTGACTTCAGTAAACGAAAACCGATTTTGAAAGCTAAACGAATGTTCAGTTATCTGTTAAATATCATCAGATCAATGAGGTGATTTCAGGTTAGCAAATTCCCTCAAAGGTCTTCCTCAAAAGCATCATGTGTGTACGGTTTGATAGGAACGAGTTGAATGGATTCAGTCGTGCGAAACAGACACGAAAAAAAAAGAGGTTGAATGATGAGCGGAGTCACCGACTTCATCAAATGAAGGCTGTCNCATGCTAGAACTGGCAGAAATGTTGAAGCGAATAGATCGCATGATCTGCACAATGGCTGTTGCTGTAGTGATGCAAACCCAATGGATACGGTAAAAGTGAGTTAGTTGTTTGTTTGAGGGAAAAAGGAGAAGAAAAACAAAATATTAATAGAGTCGAACTTAATGGATGAATGAGGATGCGATTTGAATGATGTATGCGAATGATGAAACTGTCATCACCAAACTACGCGTGAAATTCCCTAGAGGAATTACTCGAAATTTTAACGATTTGCGTCGGCTCAAATCACAAAACTTACATCCAAATAAAATACCTCAGACGATAAATTTTGTCTTTGAAAACGGAATGCGGCGAATAAGCTAGCATGAGCTGAGTGTTGGATGCGGATTTTGTGAATATCAGTGGAGCGAAGCAGTAATCGGATACAGCGATTTTTCACCCTCCTTCCTGCCTCAAATAATCGTAAACAATAAATAACCAAATCGAATTTCAGCAGCTGTTTTGCATACGCTTCCTAAGGGGTCTTCTATTGGTTTGTTCAGAATTAAGAAGCACAATGAAGATACAATGGTTAGAACAAGGTATACGTATTTTACAATTATGAATAAAGTCAAAAGATAGAATGACTATGGTGAGCGATTAAGATCGATGTATTCCCTGAATATTTGAGATATCTTGAAAGCATTTACGTTCTCAGGATCTGATTGCTTTATTGAAAGGCATTTGAGAACAATGGATTTTGAATATTTGGAAAACGAGAAGCTGTTTCTTGACACAATCCAGGCCCTCCATCAGTCAGAACCGTTTGTTTTTTCTTAATGTGTCCATGCTCTCTCTCCATCAAATGAGCAAATTACCAGTAGATAGATACGCTGGAACCGGTTCCATATGATACCAACAATTGCATATGATAGCCAGGTGATTCAGTTTCAGAGTTCAGCGTTGAATATGAAACTGGAACAATCTCCGAATGAGTTTATTGAATGATTACAAAAAATATGATAAATAGTTGAAGTGGCTTCTGATAAATAAACAAATAAGCAGTTCACTCGATCACGCANCGATTATCAGAAACATTTATGAGTGACGCAGATATGTTATCATACTAATTGTTGTGCACATTATAGGTGCTTGACTGTGAATCCAATCAAATGGTTGTATTCAGTTGACGTTCATGATGGGTTCATTATGAGTAGAGTGCCGATTGAAGCATTT